CTATCCACTGCTCATAAAAGGCTTCTTTCCCACATGGGATTCATACCACCACACAGAATTATTACTGTTGGTGCTGATGGACAAGGGCCTCTCCTGAGAGAGATCAGTGCCTGAATGAGGAGCACCTGGCTGAAGATAAACCCAAACAAGATGGAGTTAATGCTAATGGAGAGAGGGAAATACTACAAAGAACTCACCATCACCACTATATCATCCCCGGTGTCCACCTTTCAGATCATCAAGATGGCTCACAGGCTCAAGTTTTCTTAGGTCTACTCATGGCTACTGGATATCCAGACAGCAAGGTCTGCTAAAATTCCACCAACAGCTGACTAGGAGGCTGCACCCCACAGTGGCAGATTCAGACTTTGATCGTTGTGACTTCACATTTGTGACTTCCAATATAGCTATTGTACCTAGGAATGAAGCTTTTCAGGGTGAACCATTTTCAGGTAGTTGAGAATGCAGCAGCCTGCTGGCTTAGTAACACAGGCCATCTAGAGCACATCACCCTGTACTTCGCTCACTACATTAGCTCACCAGTAAATCATGGGTGATATTGTTTAAAGAGTCAGTCCTTTTGTTCAAAGACCTTGTCTTAAACAGATAGTTAAGGAAGAACAGGAGTACTTGTGGCACCTTAGAGACTAACAAATTTATTAGAGCATAAGCTTTCGTGGACTACAGCCCACTTCTTCGGATGCATATAGAATGGAATGCATATAGAACCACTCTAAGGTGCCACAAGTACTCCTGTTCTTCTTTTTGCGGATACAGACTAACACGGCTGCTACTCTGAAACCTGTCAGATAGTTAAGGGTTAATGCCTCTTTTACCTGTAAAGGGTTAAGAAGTTCACCTGACACCTGACCAGAGGAACCAATGGGGGGACAAGGTGGCTCAAAAGGAAGGAGGGAAGTTCCCTTTGTTTAGTTTCAGTTTAAGATTTGACCAGAGTGGGAAAGCTCCAGAATTCAGCCTCTTATCAAGTAGTGAGTATTAGTAAAGGAAATAAATAGGTTTATGTTTATCTTCTTTGTAACTTGTCTTGGGCATTAGGGAATAATCAAATTGGACCTGATTGATATTTTTTTTTTCCTTGTTTTAAGATCCAAGGTTTGGATCGGTGTTCACCAGGAAATTGGTGAAAGTCTCTCAAGGCTACCCAGGGAAAGAAGTTAGAATTTGGGAGTGGTGGCAGCAAAACCAGATCTAAGTTGGTAATTCAGTTTAGAGGTTCACATGCAGGTGAAAGTCCAGAGTGGGGGTGACACCTATGACAGACCTCCATTGAATTGACCCCACATGCATGAGCAGTCACTTTGCATTTGCAGCAGTGACTTCCCATGACAGCCACATTCCATAGGAAGATTGGAAGAGCCATCCACAAGGGTGAGATTTGGAGGCACAGGCGACAAAGCTATTTTGTCAGCCCGTAGAATTCCCTTCCAAATGAGATCCGAACCACCTCAATTCTCTCCACCTCCAGAACAAAATATAAATCTCTCTGCTTGTTGTAAATTTCCCACAATAAAAGCCCTCTGGATAAGGACAGAGAGAGAGAAACTCCTTTTACAACGTCATGAGGCACTTCCAGACCTGTTGTTCATAAGAAATGGGTTTATAATTAAATAGAATTAATCTTCCTTCCCCCAGCCCCGTCTCGATTTTCCAGTGCATCCTGTCTTCTGTGTCTGCCTCTTAAATTCCGAGCTCTTTGGGGGCAGCAGCTGTCTTTATTTTTGTGTACAGTCCTGCACCAAGTACATCATCTGTGCTAAATAACTAATAGACAGAGGGCCTCCAGCATCATTTTATTAAATGCAATAATAATTTAGGGCAAATCAATCTCAAAATAATCTGAGCAGATAATCCTTCCCCCCTCTTATTCTTTCTGCCGTAGCAGCAAGCAACGCTAGGGTGTGAAGCCACCTCTTGTTTCACTAAACTGCTGTAAAGGAATGGCTTTGGGGCACTACAATGATTTTTAAAAAAGACATTTCTTTTTTTCAATGTGATTTTAGCCATTTAATTTGCATGCCCCATAATGCTCCCTGCAGGGCCCCAGCACTTTGCTTGTAGCTAAACATAAAGCAAGTTTCATCTCTCCTGTCCTCCCACTCGGGCAGAACACCACACAAAGAAGTTAAAGGCCTCCTGTGCCCTCCAATGTCCACGTTAGCTGAACCCATTTTTAAAATGAGTTTCAATCTAACACAGGTTCATTATGTATGTATTGTGCCTAGAACAAAGAGGGCTCCAATCCCTGGCTGGGGTCTGTAGGTGTGAATGCAATACAAAGGACACTTCTCTGATTGGCATGGGCCAGGTAAAATGAGGTGCAGTCCATTTTAGATAACAGCATTTGAAACATGGTTACATGCCAATAGCCTCATCCCTCCTGAGGAGCATCTTAAACCCACGTTAGACTGAAACCACTATAAAAATGGATTCAGCTAATATGACTGTGTGGCCAGCTTGATTCTTCACACTCAGCCCATGTCTACACCAGGGAAATTTACAAACATTTTTCTACTGGTTCTAAAAATAATTATAAAGGGTTGGTGATGGAGTGTTATTTGGACCGGTGATCTGCTAGGTCACTCCAATCCTTGATTCTGGGAGCCAGCCTTACCCTGCTCTGCTGTGAGAACCCCCACTCCCAGGCTGTTCATGCACAGCCTCTAGAATGTAAGCTGCTCCTAGCTACGTTGGTGAGCACTTTTGGCCAGCTGCTGCTTGGATTGTGCAACCGAATGACACTAGTCAATATCTCTGGTCCTAGACACAACCCTAGGAACCTCCATCTTGCAGTGTCCAGTTATTCCCGCTGGATGCTGCAAGCTTATGAGTTAATCAATTTAACAAAGAAATTGATATGTACCAGGCTTGTTATCCCAAGGGGAGTCTCTGACACTCTTCACACCAAATGCACTGCTTCAGGCAGAACAAACAAACAGATTTATTAACTACAAAAGAGATTTTAAGTGATTATAAGTCAAAGCACAAGAAGTCAGATTTGGTCAAATGAAATAAAAGCAAAATGCATTCTAAGCTGATCTTAACACTGTCGATGCCCTTACAAATTTAGATGCTTCTCACCACAGGCTGGCTTGTTGCCCTTCAGCCAGGCTCTCCCCTTTGATCAGCGCATCAGTCACTTGGTGGTGGTGTCTGTACATAGAGGTGGAAGAGAGAGCAAGCATAGCAAATCTCTCTCCCTTTTCTCATGTTTTGTCCCTTCCCACTCTTCCCCCCCCCCTCCCCCTTCAAAGTCCAGTGAGCATTACCTCAAGGTAGTCCCAATCCAACCAAGGGAAGGGATGTGACTCACTCGAGAGTCCAACAGATCCTTTGTTGCTGCCTAGGCCAATCAGCGTCCTTTGTTCCTGTGAGGCTGGGCTGGGTTTGTCCCATATATGCCCTGATCAGATGTTAACTGCCCCTCTGCTCTTGGAGAGTTTTTCCTGGGCCTCTGCTTCTGGAGAGTTTTGCCTGGGCTTGTTTTAAGCCATGAGGATATATTTTTCAGCCTCACAACTATATACAAGAAATTACAACCAATAACATTACTATAACAATGCTCAATGCAGTATGAGCCTTCCGAGGACACCTAACGTGACAAACTTTGCATTGGATACCACACAATCATATTATAAGGATGAACATGGGGGTGCAGGGTGTTCCCCCAAGGTACGGATTGTCACAAGTTTCCCATAGTCGACAAAAGCTGCTCTCTCAGAGATTCTCACACCTGAATGAGCTTCACTGACCAGATGAGACTGTCCACAGCGCCTTATGGGTAAGTGGCTGGTGCTGGGGATTCCAGCTATGAAATAAACTGCCAGGACCCTGGGATCTTAGCTAGACTCTTCCTTTTGAACAGAGTGGCCAAAAGTCACATTTGAAATTGGGTAGGCAAAAAACTGAGGCTTAAATGTGCCACTGCAGCCAATCAACAACACTGGGTAAAGAGCAGTCTGCACTGGCCTGATTTGCAAAATTGCATAGGTGCTGGGCACCTGTAGCTCCCTGAATTCAATAACAGGAGCTGTGTGGGTGGTTAGGACCTCTGAAAAATCAGACCACATAGGACTCCAAAGAGTGGGAGATGCCCCCCCTGCATGCACTAAAGAACCTCCATTGCTGATCTGAGGGGGCAAATGGGAGGGGGAGTAGAGAATGCCTTGTGGGAGCACATTCCCCTCTGTGGCTTGGCTGTCCCCAAGAACATCCTCTTCTCCCTCCCCCCTCTCGGAGAAAGCACCAGATTGCACTAAGGGCAAGGATTAGCCAAAACCTTCTCGGGGAGAGGATCCCCCAGCCCCAGGCTTTTATAGCCTTCTCCGGTGACTGGGACAGGCCCCTTGTCCTTCCCCCCCCGTGCAGCGCAAGACACATAGCGGGATCCTCTCCCTCCGCACCCAGGTTGCCAGGCCCCAGAGAAAGGCCGCCAGGGGTGGCTGGCAGGAGGAGGGCGAATGTGGTTCGCGCGGGGCAGCTGACGCCCAGCCCAGGACTCCCCCGCCTGAGCCACCAGCAGGGCCAAGCGCGGCGCGAGAGAGACAGGGGAGAAGAGCCGCTGTAACAAGAGAAGGAGGCTGGAGTCCCTTCGAGATCCCGCCCCTGGAGAGGGGTGTGCCTGGGGCTGCAGAGCTCGAGGAGACTGGGAAGCCGGGCTCAGCGGCCGCGCTTGCAGAGAAGGACAGGGTGGGAGTCGGGCACCAGCGCCTGAGAGGGAAAGGGGCAGGAAAGAGCCAGGGGGCGAGCAGAGCCGGGAGGGGGAGCCCGAGCCTAGAGATTGTGGGGTGAGCAGGTGAAGGCTGAGGCGGGGATCCCCCCCCCCCGGGGCACAGCATGTCCCGGAGCCCCTCGGGAGGCTGGCACTGGGCGACCTGAGCAGCGGGATGAGGAGCCGCCCGCTGGGGAAGGTGCTGCGGAGGCGGTTCTGGCTGCTGCTGGCCGTCGGGGTGCTGACCGTGGGGCTCTGGGCCGCCTACCTGGAGCTGGTGGCGTCGGCGGAGACCAGCGGGCACCCCCTGAACCACAGTGAGTCTCCCCAGGGGCGAGGCGGGCAGGGCTGGGACCGCGGGACTTGCCGGGGTGCGGAGCCTTCCCGGCCCAGGAGGGGAGCCCTGATCCTGCCCCTCCTCCCTCTCTGCCATGTGGCCCCACCGCAGCTCGCTGCACAGCTTCGTCCAGTGGAATGGGACGAGGGCGGAGCTGCGGTCCCCGCGCCGCGGCCGCCAGCTGCGGGGCAGAGCCCTGCGCTCATCGGGACGGGGGCACGGCGGGCTGCTACCTCCCAGCGTCGGCGAGTGGTATCGCTGCCCACAGAAAGCAGGAATCGCTCTTCCCTGTCTAGCTCGGACTCTGCCCGCCGGAGGCTGGGGCTGGGGCTGGGGCGGGGGGGATGGATGGGTGGGGGAAACGCGTGCTGTCTGGGGAGGGAGAGGGAAAGGTGACGGGGTGCAGCATTTTTGTCTGCTTTTTGACGTGGATGGGGAATCCTATGTGTTTCCTGCCACCTGGGCCTTCCTTCCCTCCGCCCGGTATTGCTGCCCTCTGGAGAACACCTGCAAACAGAGCGAGGACCCACCCACTTGTCATAAACGCGGGACACTATCAGACTAATCTGTCTTCTAAACAAACACATCCCCTTCACTGTATTGGTAACACAGATTAGAACACTGGAGGATGGTAACGATCCCTTTTACAGTCACTGTTTTCTGATCCTTATTTCTTTCGTATTTGCATTTCTTCCCCATTTGGCCACGAAAATCAAAGAAGTTGGTTTCCCATTTGTTTTTAGTCTATTTTATTTTCAGGTTCTCCAGACTGCAAAAGCATTGGGTCCTAATCCAATGGTGTTTCCCACAGTGGGGCATATGCATAAAGGTTTAGCCTTGGTTGCAGACAAGCTTTGCAATGGTCTCCAGAGTCTTAGCTTTCGTTTTTAAAAACTGTAAGCCTCTAGCTGTTCTGATGCAAACAAAACTTTCAAAGTGTAACCCATGCAGCGATGTTTACCTGAGTTTGCAAAGAGCCTGGAACAATAACTCTGTGGTGTGAGTTGTCCTGTTCCTTCATTTTGGTGGGTGCTAACTCAGATGCCATGGTACTTTAAATGTCAGTCATGTTAGCTATGTCACTGTTAATCAAAGCCTGTTAAAATGGAGATGAAGTATATTTCGAAGATTTACATCTGAGTCATTGCTCGTTTTGGGGAGGCCCTTAACAACCCAGCTGGGTTGTAAGCAGGTACAATTGGTTTCATTTGTCTGAAGAGGACTGAGCTTTCAAAAGTTTGGGAAATGCTGTTATTGCAGGTGTTTATTTGAAAACAACTATTTCCATGAGTGGATTTTTTTTTAATTATAGGAACATTTTGATGGCCTGTTTGTTCGGGTTTTACACAAATCTACATTTTGGGACAAATCTGAGCTGTCCCTCTTCAAACCCCACTTTGGCCCGTTTAACTATTAATGCTTTTAAGCATCCCATTTCCCACACGTCTTAAATCGTTTGATTCTTAGTTTTAAGAGACAAGGGGATCGGGGCCTAAATTCTGAAAATCAAAACCTGAGCCAACAATGAGCTCCATGACGGCACAGGTGTCCACCTTCACAGAGTTCATTGCAGGAGTTGGGCTTTACACTGGGCCCACCTGTTGTATGTCAACTCTGTTCTCTTGGGTAAAATAATATTTTTTTTTTGTTGAACTGCTGCTTTTAACAATGATAGAGGTTTAATCCTCCTAGTTATGATAGCTCCATAATCAATCCTGTTGATTTAAACTGACCTTCAGCTATGGACAACTAGGGGCATTCATTGGGGTTTGCTGCAGAAAATGGAAATAGAGTGCAATACAATTTTACTTTGTATAATATCTTCTATACAATCTATCCATCAAGTGTCTAAAACTGTATCCCTTGAATGCAAACTTCTAAATGACAGAGGAATGGTGGAATGATGAGACCTGGACAAAGAGTTCAAAATGGGATATTTTGAGGTATTTCAAAAGAGAGTCATAAGGCAGAGGTTGTTTCAGATGTCATGAGCCACCAAAGAAAAACTTTCATACTAACAGTGAGGAGATGGTGGGAAGGCACAAGCGGCAAGAGCAAGAAAGTAAAGAGACAAGGACAATGAGCAAGTAAACCTTATTGTGATTTGTGTTGTTTCCTCCTCTGCTCCTGGAGGTATGAATTGCACTAGCACATGGGAAAAGTCCTTGTGCTGGGTGAAAGCCTTTTCATATGAAGAAAGGCACTCACAACACTGTCACCCCTACCAGCCTCCCCCCCCAAATAAGGAAATCTAATAACATCTCTAAAAAACACAAAACAGGTTACTTCAAACAGCGTTTTGTCCCTAAAAAGAGAGACCCGCTGTAGACTCCATGAAGCCTGCTAGGGACCTTGCTCTTGGTTTTATGTGGACCGGTGATCAGATACTACTTTTAAAACGCTAGAATGAATACACAGATAGATGGCACTAGGCTGCAGTGCAGCGGGGCAGAGCAAATGTGCATATACAAGGAGTGCTCGGAGAGCTCAGTCTCCCTCAACACCTTAGTAATCTAGAGTCCTATTTTCCTGGCATGGTGGGGAGGACCATGCTAACTGCCAACAGTAACAGAAGTTCATCTGTGACTCTCCCTCCTACCTCATTACCTACAAAGACCTGTTTTGTTTGAAAAGAAATCAAAGGTAGGAATGAAAAACAAATAGCGTTTGTTTCCCTTGGGCTAGTACAGCTCAGTAAACATTCCACCTGTTGGGGCAGAGGCAGCTTTGGTTTTGACTCCATTGTGGTGGTCTTTTCTGAGACCCCTGAGAGCTGAAGGAGAATGGAGGTTTTCAGAGCTATTCAGTCTTCTTTTTTGTTTTTGGATCCCCTTCCTTCCCAGTCTCCCAGGTGGAAAGACCTGCTGCAAGGCACAACAGGATACCAGTCAGCATTTATATTAGCAACTTTTCTGATGCAACAGGCTCCACGTTTGTTTTAAAACCCACGGGCAATTTATATTAGCAGTCAGCATTTATATTAGCAACTTTTCTGATGCAACAGCCTCCGTGTTTGTTTTAAAACCCACGGGCAATTCATTTTCAGTAATTTTCCAGGCAAGAGAGCTTAGACTCTCTCCTTCAGTGGCAGAGAATCCTAGAACTGTTAGGGTTGGAAGGGGGCCTACTGTAGATCAGCATTTCCATTCCTAGGTTTGTGACTGAGTTCTCTCAACTGTCTCTAGATGGTGCTTATGGAATAGCCTATGTGTTGAAGCCCAGCTGATACTTCCTTTATGACCATGGAATACTTTCCAAAGAAGTGAGCTCACCCCCCAGGCCAATCTGGAGTCACCAGAAACACTCCCATCCCCCATTTCCACTACTCACAGAGCAGAGCTCAAGTTATGAGCATGCTGTAGTGCTGCACTGCTGCTCCAGCCATCAGAATCCATTTTGCAGAGCGAGGCTGAAGTCATCCCAGTTCCTTCCAAGCTTTGTTTCCCCACAACATTTTTGTAGTGTGAGGGGAGAAGTTGTCAAATGGCCTCACAATGGTATGGGCCCTACAAGTAGAAGTATAGAAACTAAGGCCTGATCCTCCTCTCACATAAGTAACTCCGCCAAACTCAATGGACTTAAACAAGTGTAAATGAGTCTTAGTGAGATGAGAATTAGGTCCTAAAAATATACACTGAAAAGGTCAATCCTCAGCTGGTGTAAATCAGTGTCCATTGACTTCAATGGATCTACACTGGTTTACACCTGCTGAGGATCAGGTTCCAAATGTCCATTTGAGTGTAAACTTAGAGAGAAGGGTTGGAGACTAGGGCCTGGTCTACACTGCGGGCAGGGGGAGGGAGAAATTGATCTAAGTTACGCAACTTCAGCTACATGAATAACGTACTTAGATCGACTTACCACAGTGTCTTCACTGCGGTAAGTCAAAGGCTGATGCTCCCCTGTTGACTCCGCCTGCGTCTCTCACCCTGGTGGAGTACCGGAGTCGACAGGAGAGCAATCGGTGGTCGATTTATCACGTCTAGACTAGACATGATAAATCGATCCCCACGGGATCGATCGCTGCCCGTCAATCCAGCATGTAGACATGCCCTGAGAGATGAGCTTGAGTCAGAGTTTCAATTCAGAACACGCAGTCTGGATCAGATGTTTGGACTGAGGTGGTTGGTTTGGGCTATTTTCTAGTGAAGTGGGGAGACTTTCTGTGAATGAAGATGTGGTGGGTGATGACTAACTGGCACAGCGCCTCCTGCTGGTGGTCCTGGGAATTAGCTCTTTCCAGCCCAGAGCACCCTCTGCAGGCCAGTAGCTCGCCTGCCGCTGCTGTTACCAGATGTGCCCATTACTTTGGGGTATGCTCATTTATTTGGGTTACCCTTCTGGGGAAGGGGATTCTGTAATCCTATCAATGTACTGCTTGTGTCACCTGTGTTTTCATATCGAGCTCTACTTCTCCCTTCTGCAAGTCCCCTCCCAATGGAGCTATCCTGCAGGACCTAGGTTCCCTAGGGCTGGGTTACTCCAGCCCCAGAACTGGATGAACACACACCCACATATACATTAACAGAGCAAGTCTGAGCAGACCGGGTCAATCAGCACTGTCAAGCTGACCCTTGATATGTCTCTGGACTCACTGGGCTGGATGAAGCAGCACTTTCAAGCTGCCTTTCCTTATATGCCCCTGGGCTCCATGGACTGGGTCAAGCAGCACTTTCAAGCTGTTACCCTTATGCGTCCCAGATTCAGCACGTCCCTATCCCCACTCTCACATCACAATTGTACTGGCAGTAACCTACTTGATGAGCAAACCCCACAGTATTTTGGGCACTGCAGGGATCTTTACCTTAGGTAAAAGTGTTGCTGTAGAGTGAATGGGGGAAGCTAAAAACACAAAAGAGTAAAGTTCAGCAAGAGAAAGAGAAGCGACCAAGTTAACCATAAAAGTTATTTATTGAATAATAGTGATAATTACACAAGGAGAGCTAAACCAACATAACATACATTATTAAAGGTTAATACCTAAGGTAGAAAGGAAAACAGAGAGAGAGAAAGAGGGGGATCTCACCCACTCCATGAGGCTTGAACTGGTCAGGGTTCCCAGATGATGGTGGTAGCTGAGGGTCCTGAATGCCGGAGACAGGCAGAGCCCCCAGCACGATCAGTCAGGAGAAGATGGAGTTCCAGTGGAACTGATGCATAGTTTGGATCTAAGCATCAGAACCCTGACTGGAGGGTGAGTAGGGATTTT